CTTCTGTCTCTTATACACACACACATACAAACACAATTATGTCTACAGGTCCCTCAGTTTTAGCAGAAAGCATAAAGACAATTCTCACAATCCTATGTGGTAAATTCTGAACGAACCACCCCTCTTGGCTGCCTATGATATGGACTGCAACTCTCACTAGGTACCTTTTTCTCACTGGATCTCAGTGAATGACCACGAAGCAATTATTTCTTTCCTTTTATTATCTTCAAGAATTTTGTTTCCCTGTCTTCCCCTATAGGACAGTTGGAGTTAAGATATGGTGTGTTCATCTCTTATCCAGGACCTGGCATGTAGTTAGTATGTTGTAAATGATGGATGGCTGGATGGATGGCAAGAAGGATGGAAGAAAGGAACAAAGGAAGGAGAGAGGGAAGAAAGATGGTATATGAGTGACTGTGTGAGCACATTTTCTTTTTTTTATTTTTTTAATGCATTTCTTTTTTAAGATTTTATTTATTATTTATTTGACAGAGAGAGAGAGACAGCGAGAGAGGGAATACAAGCACGGGGAGTGGAAGAGAGAGAAGCAGGCTTCCCGTAGAACGGGGAGCCCGATGCAGGGCTCGATCCCAGGACCCGGGGATCATGACCTGAGCCGAAGGCAGACGCTTAACGGCGGAGCCACCCAGGCGCCCCGAGCACATTTTCTTGTGCATATATTCTTGGAGAAGCGGTCCATAGGTGAAACGGGAGTACCATGTCCATTCACTCAGTAGCTCCAGTCAAAACCCCCAGAGTCAACCCTGGCTCTTCTCTTTCTTTAATACATCACATCAGCAGAACCTTTGGGCTCACTCTTCAAAGCCATTGCAGTCCTACTCTGCACCACCTCCGCCCTGGTCACCATTGGCCAATCCACCATCGTCTCTTGCCTAGTTTTTCAAAGGCCTCCAAACTGTGCTCTCTGCTCCTACCCTTTCTCGGCTGCATTCTGCCATCATAAAGGCGCCAGGGGGCGCCTGGGTGGCTCAGTCAGTTGAGCGCCCTACTCTTGATTTCAGCTCAGGTCATGGTCTCAGGGTCGTGGGATGGAGCCCTGAATCGGGCTCTGCGCTCAGTGCGGAGTCTGCTTGAGACCCTCTCCTTCCCTCTCCCTCTGCCCCCCCACCCCAATGCTCCATCTCTCTCTAAAACGAATAAGTGAATCTTAAAAAAAAATGCCAGCCAACTCTGATGTCCCCCATATCACTCCAAGTAAAAGGGAAAGAACTTCCTCCACTTGCTATGTGCCCACCTCCACCTCTCTGGCCCCACCTGCTGCCACCTTCCCTCCCTCGCTCCCCCCACTCCAGCCACACCGCCTCCTTGCTGCCCTCCTCACTGTCACTTTGTCCAGCTGTGGGAAGCTGAATAATGGCTCCCGAGTATGTCCGTGTCCTAATTCCCAGGACCCATGAACGTTGCTTTCTGTGGCAACAGGGACTTAGCAGATGTGATTGAATTAAGGATCTTAAAATGGAGATTATCCTGTATTACCCTGGTGGACCCAAACTAATCACAAGTCTTTTTATCAGAGGGATGCAAGAAGAGTCAGATCAGAAGGCAGAGTGAGGAGAGAAGCAAGAAGTGCCACGGTGAAAAAAGAAAAAAAAAAAAAAAGAAGTGCCACGGTGATAGGATGTGGGCCAGGAGCCAGGAATGAGGACAGCTTTTAGAAACTGGAAGCGGGAAGGAAACAGATCGTCCCCTGAGCCTCCAGAAAGAACGCAGCCCTGCCTACACCTTGATTTTAGCCCCATAAGACTTAGTTCAGATTTCTGATCCCCAGAACGACAAGAGAATGAATTTGTGTTGTTTCAAGCCACTAAGTTGTGTGGTCATCTGTTAATGGCAACAATAGGACACATTCACACCCGTTATTCTGTTTCATGTTTCTTTAAGGCACCATCCCCACCAGGCATATTTTTTATGTACTTAGTTGTCCGTAGGTTGTTTTTCCCACTACAGTGCAAAATGTAGGGGAGCCAGGACTTTGTTATAAACCCAGGGCCTGGCACAAGAACAATCTGTTGAATGAATAAATAGATGATGTATTTTAATTAAGCAATCACCCGACGCCCTGAAATGGCTGAGCCTCAGTAAAATGTTGGTTGAACACACAGTGACAAAGTTGCCTGACATTTTCTGTTCTGGCTTGTCTAGAACAGCTGAAAATGCACGCAAGCAAGTATGGGTTACGACGCAACCCAAGTGGTCAAACCGAAACAGCTCAGGGGAAGAATAACTCCAGGACTCCACGGCAACAAGCCCTGCTCGGGAGATGGTGCGCCATAAAGCACACCTGAGCCCCATCCAATGTGGGGCTTCCAGCTTTCTGCCATCCCCCAACCCCAGAGCTGGGACAGGGAGGAGCCTGAGCAGGTGACACTCAGACCCTCCAGTCCCATGCAAGCAGAGAAGCCCCCGTACTTCCCGCCTTTACATATAATTTCCATTCAACACTGAATAAAGAGCTGCAGTGGGGATGGTGGGGCATTGGGAAGCAGGGATTGTGGCTACCACTCTTCTTACCGAGTGCCGCTGAATATCTTTAAAAAAGAGTTCACACGGGCGCCTGGGTGGCTCAGTTGGTTAAGCGTCTACCTTCGGCTCAGGTCATGATCCTGGAGTCCCGGGATCGAGTCCCACATCGGGCTTCCTGCTCGGCAGGGAGTCTGCTTCTCCCTCTGACCCTCTGACCCTCTTCCCTCTCGTGCTTTCTATCTCTCATTCTCTCTCTCTCTCTCAAATAAATAAATAAAATCTTTTTTAAAAAATGAATAAAAAAATAAAAAAGAGTTCACACATAGGAGCTGAGGTCTCTTAGTTAACAATTATATTAAAAAGAATGTAAACCTAAAGAGTTCATTAACGCCAACATTCACTTTCAGGAACTACAGATCTTAAATAACATAGGGCCACACATTCCTTTCAAGCAGGTTTTCCTGTTGCTAATACCAGCGGGAGATGCCAATACTGCTGTTTCCTCCTTCTTCTGTTTGGCTCAACACCAGTGGCAGGCTAATTTCTGGTGAAATAAACACTGCCAAATTTACAAATGTCTTGATCTTATAATGATGATGATGATCATAATGACGACGATCCACCTTGTCCGTTGCATAAAGTTGCATGGATGATTCTGTCCCGAGAAAAATACACCTACTAGTCCTCACTAAGTGTGGGGTTTTGTGGGTTTTTTGTTTGTCTTGTTTTTTTAACTAACATAACAGAGATGTGGATTTGGAAGCTGGAAGACTGCTTGAATGCACCTGTTCGAACATCCGTCACCTCCTCAGTGGAGCCTCTCCTGACTCCTTCCTGCACACTTGAGCACTCCCTCTCTCGGAATACCCATAGCACTCAGCTTGAGCCTCTAGTTCACCGAAATTAACCATGTGCAAATCTGTCTCCTGCACCACACTGCTGATTTCTTTTCTTTTCTTTTTTTTTTAAAGATTTTATTTATTTATTTGACCGAGAGAGATATAGCAAGAGAGGGAACACAAGCAGGGGGAGTGGGAGAGGGAGAAGCAGGCTTCCCGCCGAGCAGGGAGCCCGATGTGGGGCTCGATACCAGGACCCTGGGATCATGACCTGAGCCGAAGGCAGACGCCTAACGACTGAGCCACCCAGGCGCCCCGCACACTGCTGATTTCTTGACAGTAAGTTCCCTCCCTGTCTCCCATACCCCTTTCCCCCCCAGATAACATAATACCAGGCAAGTTTTGACAGGTACCTAAGTATGAGCCAGACACTCCAGCTAGGTGCTTTTTAAGGACCTTGCGGTGGGAACAAAGGAAATGCAATTTACACACAAAACAACTAGGGAAAAATACAAAGTAAAAAAATAATAATATATTAAATGAGCAAATAAAGTATATCTTACTGTAGTTATTAGAAACCACAAAAGGGAGAGATAAGCATGAACTTAGGGTTTTGCGGGTTCATTTTTATTAGAAAGAAATAGCAGTATTTACTAATACGCTGTCGTCATACTAAGAAAAGGGTAAATATGAATATTGTCAGGGAGCAGATGTTGGGGAAAAACATCCTTCCTTCTCGATTCATAAAGATGATTTGTCTAGCCCTGAAATGCTTTTTTCATGTTTTGATAACATTGTAATAAATAGTCTTTACCACAATATCAGTCTAAAACAAAGAATGCCAAAGTTCTGAGTTTGTATATCATCAGCATTAAATATTAACACTGGCTATTAGCATCTTAATACTACTACCACTAAAATCATTTCACTTCATCAGATATCTTAGTTATACTGGTGCCAAAAGGGCAGGCTCAGTGACAGAAGTAACATTTATTGACAGTATATCTGAAGTATCTGTGACCTCAGACATGCTAAGAAGGAAACCCCGGTGCCTGGCTGACTGTTGACTTCCTCTCGCAAGACTTGGTTTCATTTTTGAAAATCAAGGTGACAAAACAAATCTAACTGGACAGGAAAATACACTCAACGTCTGTCACAAAGGTAAGGATTTGAGCCACATTTTCTGCTCACTTGTAAGTGAACTCTAAAAAACATGCTTTGCCCTGGGGCGCCTGGGTGGCTCAGTCGTTGAGCGTCTGCCTTCGGCTCAGGTCATGATCCCCGGGTCCTGGGATCGAGCCCTGCATCCGGCTCCCTTCTCAGTGGGAAGCCTGCTTCTCCCTCTCCCACTCACTCCCCCTGCTTGTGTTCCCTCTCGCTGTGTCTCTCTCTGTCAAATAAAATCTTAAAAAAAAAAAAAAAAAAAAACATGCTTTGCCCATGGTATATAAAAGTCAATGATTAGACACACAACTTAAATGCACTTTCCAATTCTTTACTTTAAAGCAGTCCTGAGTGAACTCTGGAATTGACTCGTTTAACCAGCCCTACTCTTGAATATGTCTTGAGATCCAAAGACCATGACATCCTGCATCTTTCCGTGGACACTCGGAGCAAAAGAAGACCCCAATTAGGCCGTCCACCCATGCAGTGGTGTCTATCAGAGACAGCCCTTACCTTCACAAACAGGCTGATCTCAGGGTCCGTGGAAGTTGGTTCATTTTCTTCCAAACCATCAGCAGCAGAATTGCTGGTGAAGAAGGCCCTGCTCTGTTGGATGGTGAAGTTTTGGGGGGAAAGCGGGTCTTCCCCCACCATGCCTCCATCCTTCTGGGGTTCCTCTGAGCCAGGCTCCTGGTCCTGGGGTTCCTCTGGGCCAGGCTCCTGGTTTGGGGGTTCCTCCGAGCCAGGATCCTTGTCTTGGGGTTCCTCCGGGCCAGGCTCCTTATCCTGGGTTGGTGAGTGTAACTCTTCCATCGAGATGTCCTGGTCTTCCTGCCACTCACCTGGTTGAAGATCCTGGGACTCAAGACATACCTCATCAGACAGGAGATAGTCTGCTGCTTCTGGTTGGGAAGAAGTCAAGCTGTCCTCCTCACCCCCAGCCACACAAACTGACACAGAGTCATGTTCATGGCTTTCCAGCTCAGTGGCATATACATTGTTTTCTGTCAGGCCTTCGTGGATGTTATCACAGAGAGGACCTTCATCCTCTTCTGGCTGGTCTGGAAGCTCATACACCCCTTCCTTTTGGACCGTGTCAGAGACGGTGCTATTTTCTTCGTCATTCATGTTCGTTGATCTGAGAGATCTTTCGCAGGCGGACCTGAATGAATCAGAAATGAAGAAAGGGATGGAGGATGCTGCACCACCTTGCAGAGGAATCAACAGGCTTTTGAAACACAGTGACTAGCAACAGTTACCAATCAGAGGTCTCTAACAATCATTTACCAGAGACTTTCATCAGCAAACCACAAGTTCATTGGACACAAGATAAAGCTTACACACTCAGTTAACTCCTTCACTCCTAAGGATAGTTTCAAGCAGGCTCTGGGGTTTTCCTCACTGCCAGTAACTGACATTCTTTGGTTTAGCAAGGGGTCGAGTTATCTTCCCAATACACATTGAAATTCTGAATATTTAGCCATTTCTCACTAAAGAGGGCTCCCTCTTCCAATTGCCTCCAAATGTTGACAGCATTCAAGAAGTCTCTCTAATTCAGGGGAGAACAGCTCTCCACAATGGTAACTCATCTATTACTGGCTGAATTCATTACACAAAACGATTCTGCGAGTATCCATACCCTATGACACATGAGTTATATATGCTCCAACTAGGTAATAAATTCCACCTGCATTTCTTATCTGGAAACACCACGAGGTGATTAAATGGCAGAAGGAGTAGGAGATATATGCACTGGTCTAGAGTCGCATCAGTACAGACCACCCAAAATAAAGAAATCAAAGATTTATGGCTTTGAGTTTTATTTTCCCTCTTAAATCCATGGGATCATTACAGTCAGCAAAACTTCACCGAGATTCTGTTATGAACAGGATACCACACTGAACACTAACATATGTGTTAGAAGATACATTCTCTGCTGTCAAGAGACTTCTAAACATATTTGGAAGGCTAGGAAGAAAAACTAAACCCTAAAGGGCACAGAATGAACTATTCAAGATTTTCTTAGTGCAATTGGCCCATGTCTGGGATAAGCAGGAAGGAGCTACATACATACATAAGGCTGCTTATTTGATGTCACTTACAGATGCCACAAATGGACAGGCTCTTTGTTTTTAATCGGGTACTCTATTCTGCTAATTCCTGTTTCCCTTCTTCACACCATGCACATGGTTCTCTTTGAAGTGCGAACCCAGCCAGATTATGAAGGGACTTTAATGTCTAGAAATCATGTGAAAATTTAAGAAGCAACACAACTCTGGACAAAGCATTTGATGAACATCTTATTAACAACAGTCCCTTGTACCCTTAACTCCAACATTGTATCCAGGAATCTCCTGGAGCAAACTAGAGCAGAATTTCTAGAATTCTAGCTTTGGGGAGGGTTCAAAGGATAGATAAGTGCAAAGATGCTAGATGCAGACTTTAAGGCTCTTGATGTTAGTTAGCTCTTTATCTTTTATTGAAAAGTGAGGTTTGATGGGTCCAAATCCCTGAGACGTTACCAGAGGTGTGTATAACTTAGTGGAGGCCCAGCTCAAATCCCCCTCATAATTTTAGCGCTAGAGAAAACCTAGAACGCCATTTAGTCTAACATTCATTTTATATTGGGAAAAAGCCTGAAACCTAGAAAGGGGAGGTGATGGTCCAAGTTCACACAGAGAGTTAATGATAGAGCTGATTTCAGCGATGATTTCCTAACCGCCAGCTCGGTGGTCTCAGCTACTCGCTCCCTCCTGAAGTCAGTGTTTTCCAACCTATATTCTTGATCACACAAGCCCCCACCCCAACCCATCCCCAAAGAATCCTTTTCAGATATTTTCTCCCATGAAATGAAAATACTGCTGATATACTACATATCTGTTTGTGTTCTCTATGCATACCTGTGCTTTTTATGTAGGAAAAGAATAAACTTTTGGTTCCCTAAGGCCCAATGTTCACCCCTTTGGGGGTGGTCTTGCTCCTTTTGAGAATGCATGCTTTTACTGCTGGAGTATTTCTGGAGTGTAACTCATAATCTGGCACTGGATTACGTGCCGTTCTGCATTATTACCAAGGAATAATATTCTACAACACGGGTGTATGTACGTCGCAGGCTACTGGGTCCTCACCACGATGACCCAGCCAGGCAGTGGAAGCTGGTTAAGCTTAGGTTAATATCACACAGATACTCTGTAAATTTCGTCCTCCTATTTCCCACCTCAGGGCACAGCTATCATGTTTTGGTTACAGGTTGTAATATAAAGCCAGTCATCCTGTTAAAATGCCGGTCAGCTCTGCTCAAACTCCCATAATGCTTCCCCATTTCTCTCAGTAAAAGTCAAAGTCCTTACAATGACCCACAAGATCCTACAAAATCTGCACCACCTTTCTTATACCTGCTTTCCACTCCCCACTTCGGCTTACTGTGTTTCAGATGATCTGGCTTCATTGCTGTGCCAGGAACATTCCAGAATGCTCTCTGTATTAGGATCTTCACATTGGTTGTTTCCTTGACCTGAAATACATTTCCCCTGGATGTCTACATAGCCAATTTCCCAAACTCTTCTAAGTCTTTGCTTATACATCCCCTTGCCAATGAGGCCACTCTGTCCTGTTTCAAATGTCAACCCGTTCTAACCCTGATCTGCACCCCCCTCCATTACTAAAAACCTTCACCTGACTTCTAAGCTCTTTTCCCATAATACCTATCACCTAATAAGATGTGATACATTACTTACTTCTGTCTAGAGTTTATTTTCTGTCTTCTCCCACTAGAATGTAAACCCTGCGTGGTCTCAGATCTCTGTCTGCTTCTTCATCATTACCTCAAGCACCTAGAACAGTGGCTGGTATATATTAGATACTCAATATACATTTGTTGAATAAATTTTGGTGATTGTTTAGATATATAGAGATTGATATCTTTATCCTCCACTGAACACAGAAGTTTCATGAGAACAAAGCCCATGACTATTTAGCCGATCAGTATATACCTAAAATTTAGCAGATATCTGACACATCATTGATGCTTATTAAATATTTGGGCTTTTTTTAAGATTTTATTTATTTATTTGACAGAGGGAAAGAACACAAGCAGGGGGAGTGGCAGAGGGAGAGGGAGAAGCAAGCTCCCCACCGAGCAGGGAGCCCGACGCCGGGCTCATGACCTGAGCTGAAGGCAGATGTTTAACCGACTGAGCGACCCAGGTGCCCCTAAATATTTGTTTTATAAACAACTAAAGTGGAGGAGCTGTAGCTAGAATTCATGTCCTTTTACTCCTGGTCCATTTTTCTTTCTGTATTATGTGTATAAATATTATGTCCTCACTGTATTTAAACTCCCTACAGGAAGAGAACTAATATCTGGGTCTTTCTTCCATGGCACTTTGTATAAAGCAAGTTGGCTTGTTTACTTATAAAAGTATTTGATAATACTAGTATTTGATAATACACCTAGGCGCCCCTCCCCCAAATGTTTTATTCTGCAGCCAGATAAGCTGCTCTTCCCTGAACACACTGTGCTATTTCCTGCCCCTATACTTTTGCACCTATGTTGCCTCTACTGGGCACAATTTTACTCATTCTGCTATGTGCAGGATATAAATATACATAAGACATCATCTTATATGCACATATAACTGAGGAAATTTACACATTAAAATTCAAGAGAAAGGATCCAACTGGGCCTATGGCAGGCCTGCCCATCATCTGGAATAATTTGGAGCTGATGTCTGGTCTTCTGCTTTGCATGTGCAGACTCAACTTGGTTGGTTTGCAAAGGGCTTTTCAAACATCGTAGAACTGGGTCACTCTAACTAAACTGAGAAAACATCAGATTAGCAACTAAAATGCCAAGGTATTACTTTACTACAAAAAAAAAAAAAAATGCCAAATTGACTTGAATACCTCCTTAAGAAAATAAGCATAGTCGGGCACCTGGGTGGCTCAGTTGGTTAAGCATCTGCCTTCGGCTCAGGTTATGATCCCGGGGTCCTGGGATCGAGCCCCGTGTTGGGCTCCCTGCTCCTCGGGGAGCCTGCTTCTCCTCTCCCACTCCCCCTGCTTGTGTTCCCTCTCTCACTGTCTCTCCCTCTGTCAAATAAATAAATAAAATCTTAAAAAAAAAAAAAGAAGCATAATCTCTTCACACTAGCTAAGTCTACACAAGGAATCAGTTAAGATAATGTCCTCATACTATGTTCATGTGATCTGTGTTTACATGATCTGAGACAATACCCACCCTTTTAAGCCCAATATCAGTGAATTGTGCCTTTTCTTTTTATATTGATCAGTCTCATTAAGAACTTACTAACATTATTTTTTTAGAAAACATTTGGCTTTATTAATAGTCTCTATTGTGCATTTTTTTTGCACTTTCATTAATTTCTGCTCCTATCTTTATTTTCTTTCTTTTCCTCTCTTTGGTTTTACTTTGCTGTTTTTACCCCAAGAAAATTGTGGTGGATAAATTGGTGTTCAGCTTGTCTTCTTTCCTAATACATGATTTTAAGCCCATTAATTTTCCCTCTTAACACAGCTTTTTCTGGATCCCGCAAGATTCCATATGTTTTATTTTTATGATCATCCAGGTCAAAAGGATTTAATTCTTATTTTCGTTCTCTTGGTTTTTGTTTTATGTTTTGAGGGCTATATTATTAGGTGCACACGGATTCAGAATTGTTATATCATTTTGGTACATGGACTGTTTCTTCAATAGAAAATACTACTCTTTATCTCCAGTAATATTTTTTGCCTTTTTCTGATATCAGTTTTCTTTTGGTTAGTGTTTACAGATATATTTTCCCAAGTTTTTACTTTCAATGTCTGTGTGTCCTTATATATAAGCATTAGATAGTTAAATTTTTATTCAGTCTGACAATCTTTGCCTTTGAGTAGTTGGTCTAGAAACACTTAATGCAACTGCAGTGCATTTAGGCTAAATATATTATCTTACAATTTCTATCTTTAAAAATGATCAAAAACTTGAATAGAAATTTCGCCAGAAAGTAACATATGAATGTTACATAAGGTCATTAAGGAGACATCATCATTATTAGCTATGAGGGAAATGCACTTCAGTGAGATCCCTTAATACCACTAGAACAGCTAAAATTAAAAAGACTAACAAG